TTACCGAGCGTAAACATCGTCGAAGATGATGAGATAGGATCAATAGTTATCATATCTGAGTACTGCTGTTTACATAGCGTGGGTTCTTCAATAACATTGTTTGGCTTTTGATATGGTGATGCATTTCGTAGATTAATCTCCTATAATGTCGGCCTACTAGACTTCTAGTTTCCAGCGAGTTTACCTTCTTTATTCACTACTTCTGTAAGGTGTTCTTTTGAGGAACTTAATCTGTCGTTGATCAGAAATTGCTTTGCAGCCATCAGTATTCGATATCGTCCACATTTTACCACCTGAGATAACTGTGTTTTGCGCTCAGGCTGAATGAGTGCCGTTATCAGGACTAGAAATGCTTTGCAACAGGAACTGCTCACGTGAAATGGAGCGCTTCTCGATGCACTCCCAAGCCACAATGTTCCGACCTCATCATAACCAGCAATCGGTTGGTGAAGGTAGTGCTCAAGGGTTACGAAGCGCTTTACCCTTTTGCACTGGAATGCGCTCATGCACTGGTTTTGTGTTCGGCCACTGGTAATTTGTCTGGCTTTCAAGAGCCCGGAAACTAATTTTGTTACAGTATAATTGCGGAAGACGACAATGTAAGAACGATCATTGCCCGTTTTCGAAACCTGTTGGTATTACTTATTTAACCACATGTAACAGATAATCAAATAAGGGAGACATATGATACAATCTCTATACCGTAATCGGTAATGACTACTGTAGTTCGTCCCATTTGTATAATTTCAGTCCTGCTGAGGATTTCTCGGAGAACCAACGGCCTCATTCTTATTTCCATTTAAGTTTCGATTGTTCAGTTTCTTAGCGAATCAATTTCTTGAACATGCCTACAAGTGCGCTTTAATAGCGATTACCGTACTGCTGCGAATAGCCTCAAGGCACTCATCGAACTCAACTCGGATCTGCTGAATTGTTGCATAAGGGAATCGTTATTGTTTCGGATGAGATTTTTTCTTTTAAGATCCCATGTCTTCACAACACTTTATGAACCATTCGAAGGAATTTGTCTTCTCTAACAAGTCTTATATTTCATTTCTAGATTTGTTGAAAATCTGTTGTGCTTCAGACTTTCACATGGGAGGTCCAGTCGACGAAAAATAGCCAAATTGGCAATCAGCTCGTTCTGTTTTCCGTTATAAGAGACCATTCGGCATTTGCCCCTCACTTATTGACCACCTCCGTTAACAGTCCACAATTGGATTATCCAGCACAAGTTGCTCTTTTTACAAACACGTTTTTCTACTAGAACTCGATGGTTGAGCGCCATGTCGTTCAGTCCAGACTTGAAAGCGGCGAAGCGATGAAAAACTGATGGATCGTGCAGAAGGAGTTATATTTAAGTACAAGGTGCATGCCTGGTTGATATTATCGCATCTTCAGGGAAAATTTTTTGGAGTAAAATGGCCATTTTTGTCGGCTGCCGCTCATGGTTGGTCCTAAAATTTCATCTACTTCATACTGATATCAAAAAAGGAACATATTATCAAATAGAACACGACGAAATTTATTTAATGACTTACAAAGTGTTGTGTAAACATAGCTTTTATTGCCAACCTTCCAGTTTACACTAGCTCAGCGGTGGATCAGAAGGACCGATTCCGAAAAGAAACATGACAGGCATTTTGAGCAACCTCATAGTTATTTGAAAGAGTTCGTGATCATGCAAAAGGTCAACATTGAATGGTTTCTTTCAATGGAAAACGAGTTTGAGTTAACGCCGGCTCGAGTAATTTTCGTCGAAGTGACTTCCCATTTTGAGAGTTTAAAAATCAACAGATTTTCAACAAATCCAAAAACGAAATGTAAATTTAACAAAGCAGACAATTTTCCTACGAATTTTTCAGCGCTAACAAGGTTTCCACCGTTCGAATTTTATAATTTTCACGTTTTTCAATTCATTCATGTGCTCATTCTTCATTTAGGGGTATGTACAATTAATTTACTGCGTGCTCCTCCTCATGATCACTTTGCGGCCAATCTCGAGGTTTTTCATTTTTTTTGTCTTTATCTTGTCAGGTCCAACTCACTGATGAGCTCTGAGGACTATCGAAATAGTAAACTTCGTATGAGGAAGGCGCGATGCGTACTGCTTCATTAATTCCCTTTACAAAGGTCTCATCTTTCGTAATAACAGCGAGTGTAGAAAAGAGATTAATATTAACGTAGGGCAGATATTTCTCTAATGAATGGTATGCAATATTTTGCGAATACCTTGGATTTTAAAAAATATTCCCATCTGAAAACAAGGCGCTACTATGTATGTAATTGTCCAGTTGTAAACATCCATTAAAATAGAAAGAGGCTGCATAAGCGGTATCTTTTCGGGTCGAAAGTAAAAGTGATAAGTGTGTTTTGTGATAGCGTTGCCTCTCGTAGCCTCTGCGCTCGCTGTGCGGATGGTGTGAGAGGCCTTTAACCAGCGGTGCGACCAAAGCCAACCGGTCATATTATTATGAATACTGTTGACATAATCATTCAGCTACATCGGCAAATTCATTCTTTTTCTGCGAAAGCACGTGATCACAAGACCAGTTATGCAGGTACATGGGAAGAGAAGAAGACCTCTAGAGGAAGATTAATAAGCAGAAATCACGAGGGGGTTCTGTAATACATCGTAATGGTAAAGTTTTTTTGTAAAACTTGGACGACAATTTTTCAATGAAACTACTTGAAGTTTAAGGGGATTCTTGGCAGTAAGCCTAGCAGGAAGTCCCACCGTCGTGGTCGCTCGTTGCTTGCTTTTGAACACGTTTCGTTCAAAGCCATTTCCGGTTCTGAATTTTCTCACGATATTTCTCTGAAACACAATTTCCTTACACGCTTTTATACAGGGACGAGTGTTTTGAAATTGTATTTTTTTCATTTACTGTTGCAATTTAGCCTTACAGGATGTGGATGAGGTTGAGGTATTTGTTCCCGCAAGCTTTTTGCTTTGTCCGACGAGATTCACTCACACGTGGATGTATGACTACATGATTCACTATCTTCGCAATCGAAAGCTAATGCTTAGTTTTTTCTGAATCACGCAAATGAATAGGGAAGCCGTGAGTTCGACCTCCGTGGACGACCAATGATCAGGGCGCGACTGCATTTGCCAAGTTATCAAAGACCAGGTGAGTTGTGCACGTCATGCGAATCGCGCGCTGGTGCTTGGACTTAGCGCATTGCAACTGGGCCTTGTAGTCTACAGCATCAGAACAGCTGCCAGAGTTTTACTTTTAAAACGATCTTCGAACGAACTATAGGATGGACATGGTCCTCAATTAATGGAAACCTATTGGACCGATAGCGACGGATGGAAACGTCACTAGCGCCTGCTCGTGACGGACGAGTTATCAATAAATGCGCTTTTTCTCATGCCTTTCTGCATGCGTTCAGCGATCGTGTTCGCGGTTTGGCAAAATTGTTGATTATGCATTTGTTGGGGCTGCTTTGGTTTTTGGGAGATATTGCTTAACTTAGATGTAGAATTAGCAACTTCTTTAATCTTCCACCCTTCAATTATGTTGGGAAAATCTGAACAATACTGAATTCCGGAAGCGAGATTTTATTCAAGATAGTAGTGAAAGGATTTTGAATGCAAGAAACTAAATGATTCAACTCAGTTTAATTTTATTTATTTATTTATTTATTTATTTATTATTTCTATATACTCAAAAGTGTACACAATCACGGGAGCAGTACCACATATGAAAAACACTTGAACGATAAAAGACTACACGTGGGCTCTCATTTGTACCAAAAAAAGCAGACAACACATGTATTGAATGAGTTGTGCTCTCCTAGATGAGATGGCGGGGGAGTGTCCAGCAAGTATTTTTTATCATTCATTGTTTATTCAGGGATGGAAGACATAGGCATATTTTTATCTGCTGCAGGTCGCATCTCATTAGTCTTAACACAGACCCGCTGGCTCAGTGGTGCTTACGAGGTTGTTGACTGTGTTGATATTTATCTATATTTTATTTCAATGTAAGTCCGCCTTCATGTCAAGAAAGTTTATGCAGTACCACGGAAAGGGCTATTGTCAACTCGACACGTGGAGAGATTGATCGAGAAATCGATACATTATATATTGAACATAATAATATGCTGGATCAAATTCGCTGTTTCGCCTTACCGTGCATTTCTCTTACTGCATTATTCTTTGACCTGTTTGTTATAACAGCTGACTACTCTGTTATTGAGGGCGAATGCGTTCGCAAACGTCAATTCTTTATATTTGTTGGACGTTAGAACCGAAAGCTTTTCGCTCTGCTCTCCACAGCACCAAAAGCGTGAGCGAAAGCCTCAAAACTTAGTGCATATGTACTCTATAAATCCCACGTGATGTGGGTATAAGCGTCGAGGTTAAAGTTGAAGTTAAGAACGACTTCATTAAATTCAACATCGCGCGATGTTAGCAAGGGTTTAGCCTGCTGGCGTACCCAGCCATTTCGCCTTCCTCAATGCTTAGAAGCTGGAACCCCATTCAAAGAGTATCCGACCAAAATCAGCTGGTCCGGCCCACAAGAGATGTATCATCTTCCTACCTAGTCGGAATCAGCTCACAGAACCGACAGTGTAACAGGTATCATCGATTGAAGGTCTAGTTGGAAGGTTAGCCGGGGAGGTAAGCGTTAATAACACTCATTTTCCCTTGCGAATCCTCTCAATTCCTGACCCTAGTCTAAAGTGCCTTCGGGATTTTGAAGTTTAACAATAATTCACCCCATCAACTTTTGACATGCTTGGCCTGGGCAAGTTGATTCAGGGGTCGATCCAGATCCAAGATTCGTAAACAGGCGTCACTTGCCACTACTATATCACCTACATCCACCCATTAATCCGTTCAGATTTGCTTGAAAGAAAGACTGTTTTGCAAATTCTTCTCTACCATACCTTAATTATCGGCAACTCTTGTTATGGCGACAAAATGTATGGCTGTAGATGTTAATTCGTTAGGCGGTATAGATAAGCAAGCCCTCACTGTATGCCACCTTTCCATGCTCTTTACGCCAAAGTTGATTGCATGACTGATGAATGGTGAAATGTGGTATAGCTGCTGGCGATCCATTTATGCCTCACAGAGCCTCTGACGTTGTATGGTATCGGTTCAGTCCGACCACTTTGAGAATCGTGTCGTTTATTCAGGCTTCATGACGATTTCAATGAACAAAGTGCTAGTGCAAACTTTGATTGTTAGAAGACCTGAATATTAAATCTGTCACGAGCCCTAATATTGTGATGAAGCAGTTCGCTGTGTTCACTGTTTCGCTTTACGTTTCGATTTCCACACTCTCCGTTTTCTTCGTGAGAGACGGTGATGGTGTTCAAAAGAGAAGCGCTCCCTATCGCCAGCATAAAGCAGCGGTCAAAAGTGTTCGCCGAAACGATTTTTAGTGCATAATTTTTTCTCGCTTGAGCAACTTCCTCCGAAGATTGATATACTATGTTTTCCAGTGTTTTTGTATCTTCAAGCCTTAAAGTATAAGGATGTTCAATAGAAAATTTTTTCGAGGCCACCATTGATTTTTGCTGGCAAAAAAGGGAAGCACGGAAAACCGTTTTGGCGAACACTTTTGACCGCTACTGTATGCATGGATCGAATGATTCCCTACAGCTGGGTGTGTTATTATCACATTTTCTATCATATCTCCATCCTTTAAAGTATCAAGCTTAACATTTTGGAACCATGTAGAGCTGCAGTCCCTCGACCGCGCACCACCTTACAGCCCACAATTTGGAAAGAAATATTAATTTTTCCTTTTTTTCCGTAATTCAAAAGATTTTTTCTGCATCATGCAACAGATTTTTCTTTCACATTTTTGTCAAGATTCCTAAATATTCGAATAGGCCCCAAGTGGCCGCAAACCGTAAAACATGCGCGGTCTCCAACGTATTAATCCAACGGCGACTACTGCAAGGCTCGTGCATTGTTTTTAATGAACTGTTATATATTACCGTTCTTATGGACACAGACTGCAATGTAATGGACCTCAATTTGATTAACACTGCCGTTTTATCCAGTACCCTTTTGTTTTTTCAATAGTCGGCTGTTCTTTACAAGGCCTACCGTCCACTGAGTGATTCGCAGCAACGGACCGTACTTATATTATTTCAAGAGAAGCGGATAGGGGGTAGTTTGAATCGTATCTTGGAAAGGGAAAGGGACGACCTTCATTAACCCTTTGGAACGTAGAAGCAGCGTTAACCTGATGGCATTTTCCCTGAGGGGTCGTATTTGAGACTTTCAGAAATCGTGGTCCTCGAAGAGACAGGCTAAAGTGGATGGAGCTGTTTAGACTTTGGTGTTTCGGGGGGTGTATGTCATACTTCTCTTTTTTCGACCCCAATTTCAGAGTAATTTTGGGGATGGGGTAGACGTGTTTCAACTGATGGTTCAACGGCACTATCGACACCGACGACCGCTGCAGGAGGCGTATGGGAGACGTCTTCCAGAGGCGTCATCAAAATTAATAAAATCGGCACAGATTGACTGTCGACACGCGGGAGTTGGGGTAAAGTGGAGGTATAAAGGAGGAACGGGCTAGGTGAGGTCACACATCCGAAAATCTAGGCAGTGCACTGGTTTTTACTTTTACCAACTCTTACCACTACTATTACTCGTTCAATTCACTCTGATTTCCTTCTTAATTCATCAAGTCTCTTTTTTGATGCCAATCTTCCAACTCGTGTACAAGACATGTACAGCGAGGAAAAGTTTCTTGATGTTGTGAATGTGAATGTTTTGACTTTTGTGTTCACTGGAATGTTCACTGGAAACAGCAACAACAGGTCTCCTCCCATCATTCCCCTTCTATAACGACATGAGCCTTTACACTATTGAAAATGGACAATCCATTCCCAGTTCCATTCACTTACTTCCGAGATCTTTCAAGGCATGCTCCAGGATCGAACTGGTGTTGTTTCTACACAATAATATGAAAGTTTTGATGCGAATTGGCCTGGCGGTCAAGGAGAAAGGAAAGGAATCTGTCGAAAAGCTTAGGTCAACGGCCTGGTCGCCTTCCTAATGCGGCTGTGCGAAGTCAATGAGAGACTGAGCACGGAGCGGAGAGTATGAGGCGAGAGAGAGGGCGTCGCAAAACAGTCGCCTGCAGACCAAGAACATTGCAGCTGCTGCAGCTTACTTTGCAAGGCCCTTGCGTCCTCGTTAGGTGATTTCCGTGCACGGGGGTGCCCCATCTGTGATTGTCCTCTAGAGTTCCATCCTACAGGCGGAAGGGAGTCGTTTACTCAACTCCTGCTTGGGTTGTGCCTTCAAGTTATTTATTGAGGAAATTTTTCTACGATCCTCTTTTGTTATAAGATACTGCTCAGCTTGGAATGGTATCATGCTCATAATCAGCACATGTTCTTATTTTCTATCTGGAGCAACATGTATAGTAAAGCTCATTGACTCATTGATTTTGGCTAGTTTTCACTGCTTCTAACGGCTTGGTTGTTCCTTACATCAGTTTCCAACAGCCTCGGGTACAGCATTTGTCGCGCAGCGCACGCGATTTAGTGTGTCAAGTATACGCGGGGGATTTGGGAATGACCAATTTTCGCTTAGTTTTGTCAAATGTGATAGGCGAAAGGTCAAACGTTACACGCTGAGGCCTACATCTACTGTGAATTTTTCTCATCACGTAGATAAGCAGAAATTTTCGTGTTTTATTGATTTACTGGTTGCGAGGAGAAAACAGTGGGCCAAGGTGTACATGTGAATGCTTTCGTGTTAAGAATAGTTTTATCAGTAACTCTCGCTCACCGATCTTTACACATAGTGTTTTTCCACTATTTTTGGCTGTCATTGCAATCACACATGCTAAACGCAATCTAGCAGGAAACACCACTGCCTTCAGTAAACAGAGTCCTAGTCATTGAAGTCATATGTACTGCTCTTCTGTTCTTTGTTTTGCCTAGTGGCAATTTACTCCTGAAAATTGACTTTTTATAAGTCTTATTTGGTGTCAGTTTTCGAATACATCTTCAGAACGATCCGTTCTCATTTTCTGCTTATCGTTTCTCAGTGAGCCTCATCTTAGCGTTCTTTTCGGTGCAGCTTTCCTGTGCATTGCTTATTTCGCTTTTTTCAGACCTATGATTATCTGAGCTTTTATGTCCAGTCGAGGAACTCCCAATGACAAACAGCAGTGAGTGCATTGTATTTACACCCGCAGTATCAATACATTTACAACATTTTTATTACAGTAAGAATTCGCCGAACTGTCTTTTGTGCATTCCTTCTTTTATGAAAAAAAAATAATTAAAAGTTAACCGAGAACTTTGTCTTTCGACCGTCCAATTCGCGAACACCCAGCGATCCATAAATGCTAAATGGCATCTATAAATGCATATTTGAAGCGAATTGGGTAAACGAGGAAAATTCTGTAGAAAAGCTGTTTCGGCGAACACTTTCTAACGCTACCGTATATTTTATTGGATACTCGCTGCCATTATTATAAATATATCATGAGGTTAATTTTTCGTACCACTTACTAAGAAAGCGACTAGGTATAAGAGGGACGCTATTGGAAGCAAATGGCCGATAGTGTTAGCAGGAGTAATATGCGGAAGTTTAGAGGAAGTTAAAAGAGTCATGGAAACGTACTACTGCACGGGTACCTCACAGGGGACCCGTCGCGCGGCAAGAAGGCAAAGCCGGCGGACGAGTCACAGTGCGCGATGTGCGATGTAGAACGTACAACGGTACATCCTATTTAACTAGACACAAAATCGATACAGTACGCGCGGCGACTCGTCCGCTGATGTGCTCTGTTGGCGCGCGACGGGCCTCCTGTCTACTCCCCCTACTGCACATATGTGAATAAATGTGGAATGACAGTACAAAGGACTTTCGATTTCTTCCCTTTTATGTTCCGTCCCACTCATCAGAAACAGAAAAAAAAGCAAGCCGAAAAAAATCTCCAAATCGAATGGATGACTTATTTTGCACGCTACTACGTGCTGTTTACAGTTTTAATGACAGTGGTAATTTCAATATATAGTAAAAGTCAAGTTTTTAAAATTCCTCAAGTATTCCGGAAATGGAATAAGTGTCAAAAGCACTCAACAACACATCTTTCCTCGAGTTCCTTCTTCAAACTCGGGAGGGAACAAGAACGGATTCGAACAGCATTGTTATCCAATCACGTCCAATCCAGAAAGTTGTTCCACCAACCAGGGTCAACCGTCGCGTTCACGCTTTTCAAGATATCCCCTTCAGGAGTCTTGATGCACCCCCCCCCACCTCCCACCATTACTATCAGTTTTAGAGAGCTCCGCTAATACGAAACCCCTCCTGCCTACTCCAATTACCGTCCTCACCATCATGGGCTTATAGTATGATTCTGAAACCAATCCGAGCGCCCCCAACTCCGCCACTTTTTCCTTCCCAAATGGCTTTCGGTTGGAAAGGAGAGGGGGCCGGAGGGGGAAGTGAAATGGTATAATGAAGCGCAGCTTCACCAATTTCTCATAGTTCGCTCTACTTTCGTAGACTTTCCCAAACTTCCGCCAAACTCATCGACAAGCCCGTCAAATCACATCAAATACAACCCAATTTTTACGACGCCCTCACACTTTTTGCAGAGGTTGAAGTGGCTGACCTCAATCAAAAAATGCGACCCTTCTTTTCAAAATCACGAATGTGACCCCCTCGTTCCAATAGTGCGAGGAGACAGTTGACCCAGCCAGCAACTAGATTGATTTGGTATGCGCGAAATGTCCAATTTTAAATTTAAAATTTGACACAGTATCTGAATTGTCTCAGTGGCAATGAACTATTAAGTAAGTGCACTTCGTGAGAAGAGAGAAGATGATGATGACAGTGCCGCTTTGTCAAGAGCTAAATCCAATTACCTAAAGGACAGCTCTCATGAATGACTGCCCTGATGATGCCGTGTGCCATGAGCGAAGTGCGGTCTTCTAGTCGTAACTCTTTGAAGGAACTGGGGAGCGATTCATGAAAATCTGTTTTAGGAATTCTTCCTTACTTTCTAGTATTGGACGGTGGATTGGTATCACAGAGTGAAGATTTTCTGAATACTGTCTCATCCAGTGTCTCAGAATCAGTGAGATTCCAAATTGGTTTGCGGTCGAGTATGAAGGAATCACGGGAACGCATGATTCTTTCTCAATAGATCACCAGCTCAAGACCCATTTTTATGACAAGAGCGACAAGAACGAAAATTTTTGTACCAACAAGGGAAGGATACCAAGTCGAAGTGGCCATTTGTAACGTGACCTACACCACTAGATGTGCTTTCGGACGCTGATCTCGAATCTGCTCTCCAAATTTGCGAAACGATTCTCTGAACGTAGTTGTGAAGCGAAATAGTGCAGTGGCAGCTGCCCGGGCCGACGAACAACAGGTCGTGAGATCGATTTCTTGGCGTGTTGTCAGTTTTGCTTTTCTTGAGAACATTGTTTAAAGGAATCTCATTCATGCTGAATCATCAGCGACCGCCTATCCTACAAGTTGATAGAGCTGGCGAAGAGCTTCGAACACTATGCGCGTCGTTTGCAAATAACCGTCTCTGGTACCCGTAGTGCACGTGTCAGGCACTTTCGTGCCCAACAGATATGATATTCTTGTTCAGCGTGTCAGAGTACCCCCTTCCGAGGACTTTTGGTCCAAATCTAAAACTTTGAGCTGAAGTTGAAAATCAGGGCACACACGACCGAATGGACTCGGCAAATGACGTGCATAGTGTTCGAAGCTCTTTGTCAGCTCTACCCATTTGCAGGATAGGCAGTCGCTGATGATTTAATATGAATGAGATTCCTTTAAACAATGTTTCGTAGAAAAGCAAAGCTGATAACTCGCCAAGAAGTCGATCTCACGACCTATTGTTCGTCGGCTCGGGCCGCTTCCACTGGCCACTTCGACCTGGTATCCTTCCCTTGTAAGAAGACGTTTTGTTAAATAATACGAAAACTAAGATATCTAATGGCGCTTAAAACTTCATCGTACATCTGTCACAAATGTTGGCGAAGATTTCAACAAGTTTCCTGGGATGCCGTTATTAGGTAATGTTCCTGGCCTCCTCCCTATAGCAAAAACATTTAACCTGTGGCACCAACATTTCACTCTCTATTGCATCCTCTCTAGTGCCTTAAATTTTGCCTCCACTATCTCATGGAAGGTTGTATTATTTTTTTACGAGTAATCGCCCAATATGTGGCCATTGTATCAATTACTCCGTTCCATGGGTCTCCTTGTTCCGCCCAGGTGTCCGTGAACTGTCCACAAAGAAATGAAGTTTGAAGTGAAATGTCCGTGGCTTTCGAAGGACTGTTTTTTATGAATGGATTTTCAAACACTGGCATGTTCCGATATGTGATCGCTCATGACACGTTTGTTCGGGAACGGATACAACAACTTTACTACAAACATATTTGCGCAATTCCTGCAATGTGCCCATTGGAGCGGTTGTGGGGAAGAAGCAGAGGGTAGCGTTCAAAGCGGTGAAATTTGATCCTCATTATTATAGGTGATTGGCATAGTCGGTGCGTTTCAACGAGGGCCTAATGTCGTCGTCTGAGCGCCAAGCTCTGTTTTATACTGCTAGACCTGGAGTGCGAGCTGATAATATACAACAGCTGTGGCCTGCCTTTGGAGGCAGACCCATCCTCATTCAGCAGTGGAAACGCGCGGTACCTTGTTTTATCTTTCCAAGGACTTTCGCGACAACCCTCAGTCGAGTGATTGAAGGTTAAAAGGGGAATATACCAATCTGGAAGGCAGGCGGCCCCCGAGGGTGCGAGACTATGCATGTTTCGCTGCGAGGCTATGCCTCAGCGGCCTAGCAGGGCCAGGCCTGCGCCGCTCGCTCCGCAGCACACCCAGTCTCTGACTCCAACCGATGAAGAGAGAGGAAAAGCGTTAGGGTTGAAGAGCGCAGCGCCAAGGCACCATCTTTTTTTTTCAAATTTCAAGCAGCAGCTTCCCCTTTNAATAAATTCTCTCCTTGATGATGAGATGGAAATTTTCAATAGATTTGTCAATTTATTTTTTCCATTTCGAGGAATTTTTAGCTCCGGTATGTGGATGTCACTAAACTGACATAAAAATTACCTAAATAAATATAAAAATGTACCAAATAAATAAAGCACAATGACTATTCGCGTGAAAATCTGCACGCACGCGTCATGCTGCCATCAATGTGGTGAAGTTGTAAAGAAGGCTGTCTTATTTGTGGTCGATTTTGGGGACCTGTGAGATCAACACGAAAATAATCATTCTATCTAGTGGTCGCTCACTAACAGTGTATCAAATTTCGCTGTTATCATTTATTCATCCTAGAGTTGCCTTCCGAATTCCTGTCGTATCTTATCGTAAACATTCGTAGACCTCTGTGGTTATCAGTTGTGATGCATGACCTTGTAAGAACTCAGTGATTGGGATGAGCGCTCGAGAACATTGAAAGCATAGACAAAGAACTGGCACAGGTCAGGAGAGCTTTAATCTGCTCACAGGAAGTACTTGTCCATTTACTCTATGGCAAACTGCTGTTACAGCATTAACGGGCACAGTGATAAGCAATGGCCTCTACCGTTGTTGTAGGAGGTATTGGAAGAAATTGGGAAATTCAAGGACACCGTTTCATCCTTTAATTAAGCACCGCTGCTATTTATTAATTATTTTTTGTCTCAGCCTTTTAGCGCAACTGTGTGGTGATTGCAGTTCCTTTTCACACCGTGGGTTACGGGAGCCCGCTGCGACGTTGTCGTGTTACTCCTATGAAGTAGCATGTCGCGCTGAGTTCCGCCCATTCTGGGTTATTGAGGGTTGTGGTGACGTCTCGTCGCCACGCCTACAGCGCTCGCACCTCATAACAACACAGAGCTGCCGCTACTGCTGTCGAAGTCATGCTAGCTACCCCTATTTCCATGGTACTCTATCACGAGATCGCTCCGCATAACAAAAGTGGGTTACGCGCACAAAGTTTACCCAATCATATACAAACAAATATTTCTTACGACATTTCGCAATTACTACGAAAACAAGCGATACAGGTTTCTTCTTCGGCCATTTGAAGGTATCCTTTAAAGAGAGCGATCACTGGTACATTGTCATATGACTGCTGTTCGAGGAACAATATGCACGGCTTTACTGATTTTATTACCAATCGATTACTCTTCTCAATAGTTGTAAACATTTCTATACAGAGCGCGAAAAGATCCCAGAAGGAACACTCTGTGTGGTCTGCGCCGATCTGGCAAGCGGAATTCACTACTCTGTACCAAGTTGCAACGGCTGCAAAACCTTCTTTCGCCGTGCGCTTGTGGTGAGTTACCAAATGGTTACTATGTGAAGTTAGTTTTGTAGGTTTAAAGCCTTAATCAAAAGTTAAATTTTGAATCTTCCTTTCTGAATTGTTGCTTTTCAGAACAAGCAGACTTTCACATGCCAGTTTTCGGGCGACTGTGTGGTCGGCAAATGTTAGTTTTTCTTCAGATCTAATTCCCTTTTTATTTTTTCATTTTCTTAATTTCCAAGTTATATCATCAACTTGAGCTCTGAAGTGCTTGAGCATCACATTTTATTTCGTTGGAGAGACGTGTATGAGAAATTGTGTCGATAGTTGCTTTCCTTCCGCCAAGGCAACTTGTCCATGTCGCCGCGGAGACGTTGTTTGTTTTCTGGAGGTAGTCCTGCGATCGATCACACGCTAGGCACAGCATTCTTTCCGAATAACTTCAAAGTACTACACGAATGCGTATCGATACCGCTTATCAAAGTTAAGCCTGATAGTGGCAAAATTAGAGCCCTTGATGCGTTCCCTTTCTCCCTCGAGACCCATAGCCATCACGGCTTTAGTGGCTTGCAAACATCTCAATTATTGCGGCCCTTCAAAAGTTGGCCAACGAAGGCTGGCGTGAGTTCAATCGTGCCACTATGTTCTGGCTCTTATTACGGAATGTTTCAGCCGTCCGATGCGTATGCCGCAGCTGTCGTTTAAAGAAGTGTTTCGACATGGGTATGGATCCGAAAGGTGAGCGAGACTGATTTTGCTAGGTGTGGAAGGTTTGAGCGCGTAAGGGAGAAGATGACGCGAAAGGACTCAGTTTTTTCACGGCCTGTTGTAGGCCTACTCATTCGATACATTTTGCTAGCTTTAATTCCGCGCGTCACAGGGACCGCAAAACTAATGCGATGCTATCGATGGATAAGGCCGACGTCATACTTTGCGATTTGCTAGCGAATCGAGCGAATCGCTAATCAATCGCAAAGTATGGCGTCGGCCTAACACAGTGCATTTGCAAACATTCGTTTCTTGAGTGAGCCATTTTTCCAAATGAATTCAAAAGTTTGACAATTCACAAAGTATTACTTTACTGCGCTCCATTAGGAGGTGCTTTTCCGCGAAGAGCCGCTGTAGTGTCGAAAAATTTTTCGACTCTCCGCGGCTTTCACTATATCACTGTTGGAGACTCTAGGACCCATTTTGTATCCTTACAGCTAGCGTTTTCGTGATATTCAGGTTTACTCGGCTGTGGAAAACAAACATTTTTCCTTTTTTGTAATGGCCCAAGGGGCTTGGGTAATTGGATAAACAAATAATATCTGAATAAATATATAAACAAATAAAATAGTGTTTAAATAAATGATAAATGAAATAGCTGATAAATAAAAGTGCAAATATATGGTTGTTGCATTACGAGCGTCGCTCTGACCCACTTCTATGGCGCTTCGTCTTGCTTGGATGTGCCTGACGATTATGGAAAAGTCACACTCGAAGTCCTTCGTAGGTTCTCTCGAATTTAGGCTGAGATCCAATTCGATTTCTCTTATAAGACCATTTTCGCTCACCACCGTAGGTTTTGCTTCTTTGAAAGTGTCATCTCTGTCTAAAAATGCTGAAACCACCTGCGAATAGGCGCTTGGATGCTATCTTCCTAGCACAGGCTCTACACCAGCTTTGATGACCTCCAACGGCTATGCTACGTTGTTAAAAGTCGCCCAGCTTACACGTTCGCATACAAAAATTTTCGTTCACCTATCTTTGAAGGAAATTATAAAGTGAAGAAACAAGGCGTCTCAGGACAAAACGATTATTAGTCGAGATTTTTCCTTTTGCTAGAGTGAACCTTATCGCCAGAGATTCCGAAATAGTCGAGAAGGAGACAAATGAAAACGAGTAAAACTTATATTGCAGCAAACTATTATCCTAAGGGAGGATTCCACGACAAGAACGAAGGTCAAAAAAGGGACAAATCGCCTAGTTGGGAGACAGGCGGACCTCCTGGGGTGCGGACCGACGCGCAATTTTCAGCGAAAGATTTGATCTGGGCCATCTAGCATGGCCCACGCCTGGCGCAAATGGCGCGACACGCCTACCGACATTGCAGAGAGAACGTAGTGGAAAAGAGGGCATGACTAGAGTGACATCATCACCGAAATCAACGGCCAGGCAAGGGGTCCCATTTCTCGGGTTTCATGGCGTTTCTCATTGTTTTTCCTCCTTTCTTGTAACATTGATCATCCCTAATTTGAAATGAGTGGCCTGAAAATTTCGTCTTTAATATATAAGCCTGAACAGTGTCGCCCAGTGAGTATTATTGTTGCCGCTTCAGGCGACTTATTCACCTGATCCGTGCTCGGCTATTGATCCTAATTATAAGCGTGTTCATTTCCGTAATCCTACTGAACGGAGCTGATGCTCATACTAAACTCGTATTTTTCACGCCCGTTCACATCTCACGCAACCTATTATTTCGTTGTTTTTCGTACTGCAGCGTTCGACGCGCATGTCTTGTTGTGTACGAGTGCACGCATACACGCACACTCAAGCTTACGTATATGCACATACAAAAATAGTGTACATATAAATGCTTGCTCCTTATTTATCTATTTATTTGTGTATGTGTCACAACATGACAAATGATCGTGGCAGGTGAGCATATCTTCTATGTAGACTAGAATAAAAAGCCGAGATTATTTTGTTACAAACAAAAACATGTGAATAATTTTGTTTTCATTCTTTTATTTAATAGAATTGAAAGTAAAAAGTTCTTATTGGAAGAAAAACCCACATGTTCCGTTCGCAGTTTCCTGCCTCTGTTGTCGCCTCGTGTTCAAATTTTAATAAATCCGTATTAATATTATTGAAGAGCAAGAATAAGTATTTTGGCGACGTTGGACCCAGGGTCGTTCCCCTCGCTGGACTTTCTGAAAATTTTTACGACACCCCCCCCCAGGTGATTGATACGACCCCCTTTTCGACACCTCGACCATCATCATCATCCTATATTACTTAATTCTGATACCACTCAACTCACCAAACTCCGCCCATTTTTCCTCCAAAAATTCGTCGAGCGGGTATATATCTCTCTGAACAGTAGAAACTCACTAAACTCTCTAAAATTTCACCATTTTACTCTACTTTTACCCGCTTTTACGCACTGAAACGGCAACTTTTTCTCCCGCGCGCTCCCAACTCTCAAACCGATACACCCCCCCCTCCTACAAACTCATCCACGTACGACCTCCCCTTTGTTGCTAGTAACAACGTAGGGTTGATCCGGCGCGTGACCCAGGGCCCGTCCAATCGTTGGGACTTTTTCAAAAAATTTTACGACCCCCCTCGTTCATGACAGATTTCATACGACCCCTTCTTCCCAACTTACTTTTCCCTCGAAAATCATGTTTGAGCGGGTCCTCTATTTCCGTTTACTTTTCTCCCAATATCCCCTATCTTACCTGTTTCCCCTCTATTTCCACTACAACATATTCCAAGAGAGGTATATACGCACGCTCAAACAGCAAATTTTCTCCCGCGCGTTCTCACCTCATCACTTGTGATTTTGTGCTACCGAAACAAGTAAGACCCCCCACCACAAACTTCAACAAACTACGACCCCTCCCCCGTTGGTACTTGTACCAACGTAGGGTTGACCCTGGTTGGACCCCAACTCATACTGTGCCACGCAGCCGACATCTGCTCAGAATTGTAGTGGTTCATATGCGTTCTTTGCCTATGCAATGGCACTCCTCCCTCCAGCACGGGTAAATGGTGTCAGTGCCAGCTAATTCGTGCAATCCTTGAGACCGCCCTTCGATTATGCTCTCGTGATAACGAATTCCATTTGAATCGTGAAGATGGATTGACACCAATCATGCCATCATCATCTACCGCCGTGTTACGGATTTAGGCAGTGTAACATCGAAACGTGCTGTCCTTTTGCTTCTCCGATAGTAAGGACTCCTTTTCACAACAATGGAAATTACATTTCCAGGAAAGAGTAAGCGCCGCGCCATCCGCCATCCGCCGCCATAGTTTTTTTCATGTGTAGGCGTTGTCCTAAATACGTGTGAGCTCTATAGATGTAGCGTTCGGTTCGAACATTTTATTCGATTTTACGATCGATAAGTAGGCCGTTACTTATTTCATTATGTGAAGATATGATTGATATTTGCAACACCACATCGATTTTCGCAGTTGTTCGTTTATTGTCCCATTCCTGAACCTTTCGATCTCTCGTTTTATGAAGGGTGCATTGTGCGATGTCCTCCGTAGAACGAGAATTGCGCTAATTGGTGTGAACATGACAAGAGAGACGAAATGGGAGAGATCTCATCCGTTTTCTATGAAACATCAGAATTCTGTGCATTTTAAGGAACAGTTCTCCTTTAATCCTGGACGACACATTTATAATTACGTATTACTTGAGTGTAGTTCAGACAGATAGCTGTTTATTTCTAATTTTTATTGTTGAATGATACGATCCCTAAGCTTCACGAGAGAGGTGGCGACTTTGGCTAGGGTGACTTCCTGGTGGATGACGTAAAACAAAAACACAAAAATATTGCGAAAAAGAGCTTGAAAGTGTTCAACTTCTGCGAGCGTCGTAATTTTGGTGCTTGGTACCTTCCTCTGGCCTGGAATTGTTTTTAAATTTGTGAGTAAAGTAATATCCTCCCAAATAACTAACTTGCCCTACTTCGTCCTCTTCTCTGCGTACAGACGGTCAGCATGTCAAAATGGCCCCGTTGAGGATTTTTGTCAGGATACCGCCGAGAGATTTCCTTCGTTGCATTGCCACTTCTTTGACGGCCCACGTTTCTTTCATGGGCGATTTCAAACAAAGTTGAAGGGGGCTCTGGAATTACCAGGATTTCTGCATCCTAATGAAGGTGAAATTGTACGGCAACTTTTCATGGTGGTTAGATATGTTAATGGACTTAACGCTGGAGATTAGCTGTTGGTGTTTGTTTGTTACTGCTAAAAAGATGAAAATTGCACTTTTTCTTGAATAGTGGATCCTTCAGATCATATTTAACAGCCCTTGGGAGCCTCTTGATGTCTCTCAAACCCATACCTACATTTCAGGGGACAGAAGTAAAAGCGCAGGCCATTAATCGAACTCGCTCAGAAACGCGCCGTCCGGTGCTAGTCGCGGTTCCCATCAACTCTTGAACAGGCTAGCAGCTCTGATCATTGTTTATCCCAGCTTCCCCCCCCCCCACTGAACCCCTCGTTGAGGATTCTTCAACCCATGGTTGACCCCTCACGAGGTCGGTTTGGAGCAAAAAACTGGGCAAACTAACCGCGACCATAAATGTTCTGGGTGGTCGTATTGCCCAACATCACGACTAGAGAACAAATCGTTTACTGCTGACGCCTTTAAGAGAGCTCCACGCTCTCTCGCGTAAGAGTTACAGCGCTTTTCAATTCACGGTGAATCGCTTTAAATTGAAAAGCGCTGATAAGTTGATTAAAATAGGCGGTTTTATCATCCAGGACCATCGTGGGGCCATCGAGGGGGACCTATTCTAGAATTTGGTCTGCGCTTTCAAGCGACGGCGTGCGTTACTGTCATACATCTACCTTTGTCACGTTTTACAAGATTTCACGTCCATATTCATGTTTTTGCGATATTCTACTAAAAGCCGTTGGAGACGATCTATACGCACTAACGGACGGCGAGGCTACTGCAATCGATTGATGGGAGAGCTCTTCGGAACTTATAGTGAACTGTTTTTCGACCCATCTCACAAGTGAAGGACAGTAGATCGAAGTGGCCGTCTGAATCGAGTCATATACCACTTGATGCCTCCTCAGACGCTACTAGCAATTTTTCCCTATAGGGAGAACGACGCGGTGAATAAAATTACGGAGGTTGTTTAACCGCATCTGCCGTGATGGTCTTCTGCGGTAAAAAGGCAGTTCCGCAGGACTGACGTCAGGGGTTCGGTTCCACCAGCCCACTTTTTGTTTTCTAACACGTGAACAAGAAGTAGATTGTCATAAACTTTCGATCACTGTACGATTGTAGTTTGATATTTGATGAGTTTTCCTGCGAATTTTCTGGTTTTGGTATTTGTACTCCAATAAACGCTGCGTACGAACGAGGGGTTTTCACGCCAAACGAGGTGACCGTCGTGTTTAGAAGGTCAAGCAACTTTTTGGGGCAAATTTCTAGCCAGATCGGGATTACGGCCATCACCCTGAAAAGCGAGACTGGAGGGGTGGTTATGATCCTCTGTCGGTTGTATCTTCAAGCGTGCCTACTATTGCAACTTTTGCACGAGAAGGCTGATCTTGTTCAAACTTTATCTACAAGTAGTGGGGTAGGAGGACTCCAGTCACGAGTATTAAACACATTATAAAAAACTTCGTGATCAAAGACTTGAGGTAATCCTATTCAAGCACAAAGTAGTGGCTGCTAAGGAGTTCGTAAGTGGAAAACAAAAACAAAGAACAGTCGAGGAATTTCTGAATAGAGGAACCCTGTTCACCAGCCCTCGACGAGGTGATTATGGTAGGCGTGCGCGTCGGGGCGAGTTTGCAACCGCCAGTTCTGCGAGCTGCGCAGCCGTAACGCTGGCGTCGATTGGATTGAGGCCGCATTCGCTGGCGTGCCAGCGTTGCGCCCGACAGCGAACGGCGATGCGGACGAGCCGCGCGTTACGGGTTAAAGAGCTTTCAACGCCTTTGTTGCGCACTTTCAAGACGTGAGCCGCACGGCATCAATGTTTGCTTTCCAGTCTACCATGATCAGTGACGGGATCAGTGAGGGTGCCTAATCCCCAACTGTGCCTCTGTGCACCCACGCAGTTGTAGGACTCTTTCCCATCAAATTCGTCTATGGAGGTTACTGAGTTACCTGTTCCCTGAGCGCGACACTAATTTTTTGACCTGGCGGCATATCCGTGATCATAGCACTTCCATGTTCAATTTTGACGATTTCGTTTAATTAGCGCCGAAGAATGAAGTGTGCAGGATGGACTTTGACCACCATCTGTTTGCATCACTTGATTGAAGTAAAGGTAGTAACACCAATGTGGCCTGAAATGTGGAGTTTTTTAGACTAGGGAATTTGGTGTTAGCGTAATTGTCCTTTAGTTTCCCGAAGACTTCTCATTGATAAACAGTCATGCTCCAGGTTTGACAGAGGTTTCTTCCAGCCATTCAACATGACCGCGACAAAATCCGATACACCAAAGCGTTGAAGAAAAAGAAGGAAGAAGAGCGGCGGCTCAAAGAACAATCAGAGCTCTCGTTGAAAGAGGAAGTTGGAAGTCCGAACAGTGCAACGTGAGTTTCCATATTATTACTCGTTACTTTTTGCAAAGCTGCAGTATTTTAATGAAATAATGCTGTAATGTTTGGTGATGAAAAATTCCAAGTTTGACTCTTTTTAGCAGAACCCTTTTGACCCTGGCACATAAATTTGTATTGTTGACATGACTTCACTAATTATTTTTCATGAAATTTACACTGAAATTCTATTGACGCATGTTTAAGCCCATTGAATGACATAGGGAAGTGTTTCGAAACGCTGTTCGTGTGGGGCATTAGTGAAGAAAAACGGAAGCTTCCAGAAACCGAGTAAATAATGCTTTTTCCGTCATTAGGAATTTCAATACAAGTGGTACAAAATCGGTCGTGAAAAAGAAGCTGAGGGAAACGGCCTAAAATCCGCAAAAAATTAATCAGTTAATCATTGTTTTTCAGTTTCCCTCAGTTTCTTCTTGCTGCCCCTCTTGGCAGTTCTACTATCATTTCCAGTGAGTGACCAATTTAGCCGCTTTCCCACCGCGTTAGGCGTAACCTTCAGTGCTGGCATCTTCACCGCGAATTCCTGCTGTGCCTCTCTCCCAAAATGGCTGGAGCAATGGTAGAGACTGTCCGCGTCCACCCATTGGCTAGCAGCTGGGCTAGCCAATCGGTGGACGCGGACAGCCGCGAACGGAATTCATGGACGCAGGTAAGGACCCGTTAGGCGCTGCGAGGTCTAGCTGCGAAAAAACGTATTATCCGCTTTCCCAGGGAGTCTGCCTCCATTTGTAGTAGACTCAAATTTTTCTTCCTCATCGAGTTCCAATTTATCGCACCACTAGCTTTCTATAGAGAGACGAGTCACACTGTCGCTTCGTGAAGGCACCCATTTACTAAGTAATATTGAAGCGGGTTATGCTCGACCACTCGGGGCTCTGGGGAAGGTGTAGGCTAGCTGGACCATTGCTATTTGATGATAAATGTTCTTGCCCACAGTCAAATGCTCGTCGTCTTTATAGAAAGAGAAATGCAACTGTAGCGTGCCACTTGGCACTAAAATACGTTTTTATATTGCTAATTTTTATGAATATTATGACAGCGAGCTAGGGACGTTTTTAAAAAAATGAAATGGAGGCAATTTTCAATGTTGGTTTTTCGCAGTTCTGATCAGTACATCAACACTTCTACACCTTCGTCTAGCACGATGATGATCATCCCGGAGTTGGATAACTCTGCATTCGACCTTGAGTCCCAGGTATACAGCTGTACGTTACACAAAATAAACATATTAGACATATCTTACCTAATTTTTCTCAATCACCGTACATCGTATGCTTTTCTTGGAGATTTGTTAGTTTAACTTCATCGCAATCACATACCGCAACTCATAGCTTAAGTCCAGAAGCTTGTAAAAGGGACGAAGCTAAAAGTATCTTCCACATTGAAGCGATGATTATTCATTACCGTAAGTAGGTTAGAGCTATCCCTGAAGGTGGAAGACGTACCGTGCGCGAAAGTGCTGCCAGACCAAGTCACTGATGCCGGTGACCACTACCTCTGGTCCCGTTGCGCACGATCCAACGGTGTACGAAGGGGGCTGTCTGCGTCTCGCTCCTCCAGTATGCTCTCTCTTTCCCAAGTCCTTTCTTCCGTCTCAGCGCTCAAAATATCTGTCCTCCCGAGCTTAATTTTCTGCATATTTGCAGATTCTTCCTCGCTCTTTATTAGCGGACCATTCCGTATCTCTACCTTCATTTTCTCACCGAAGGGCTGCTGAAAGCGTTTTCAGTGACGCAAGGCGGCGATTCCTTAACAAAAAGTTCTAATTAATAAATCTCTACGTAAAATATATTATACAAGGAAGGATGGGGTTCATGGAGTTCTTGCCAACAATATTTCAATTTATCTTTCAGAATGATGTAAAATTGCTTGTGGACGATTTGATGAGATTGGAAGAGAAAATGCACATGGTACGGCGGGCGTGTCGATTCGAGCCTCACACCTCGGCCACAAGTTGCATGTATAACAGGTGTGAATAATTCATTACTATGCCATCGGAGACAAATCTGAAAGCAGTTGTAGCCG